ACATCTGTTACATATCCACATTTTTACATAATGCCCTATTAGTAACTGTTGTATTCTGCTCCCTTTCCTATCCTCTACTATCCCCCCTCCCCTCCCCTCCCATCTTGTCTCTCTACCCACATTCATATTTTTGTAAACATAAACATTTTGGTAAATTAGAATAGTCATATACATAGGACAGTTATGAGCAAATGAATCAAATTCATAAATAGATCAAAAAGCAAATCTTAAAAATGTACATCACTATGGTTGGTAATTGTGTGTATCCTCTTTATAACTGTGGCCATCTGAAATTCTTTGATGGACAACCTAAATCTAAATAATTCCAATGGAGAAAAATAATGCATTTTTGAACTAAAGTTTTCATCTTTGCCATATTGTGTGGTCAATGTCTTCCTCAGAATTTGGCTTTCTGTCCCCTTTATATAGCTTTCCCACCAAGGGAATCACCATTTTATGGATTTGGGGCTTTAGGGATTTCCACATTCAGGATGTTAATCCTGAGGATTGTAATTTGAGGAATGTTAGACTTTAAGGATTTCAAGTTTTTAAAATGCCAACATTTGGGATTATGGTGTTTAGGTATCATGATCAGGAAATTACAATGGCTTCTAGAAATAACCAAATCCACTTAGATTCCATAGAAAAGGAGTAGAGCTGCAGGTGTAAAGGGCAATCAGAATGGACAATTAGGGAAAAGAAATTCACTGTCCAAGGTTTTTTAAAACCAGATTGAAAACTGGGAAAGCAATAGGGTTGGAGGTGGGTTAGAGGTAATGGAAGAGAGACAGAGTCAGGTGAAATGTAAACTCTACCAGCAAACATCATGCTTGTATTCACCTCTTTGTATTCTGGTGCCTGGTATTACCCACAATGGTTGAGCAGTAAATATTTAATAACTAATTAAAATAACGAAAGAAATAGGTTATGAATATGTCTTCTTTTAGTACAAAACTGCAAATTGTGCAGTATACAACCAGTGAGTATTTTCAATCCCTGAAACATACCATTTATTCATTTATTTCCATAACACTGAAAATTTTTGCTAGGTTCTAGGTATACCCTTGGGAATAGCAAATAATTATTTTTTTTTTCTGTCTTGGAAGAGTTTTAAGCCTTGTAGGGCAAAAAAAAAAAAAAATGCTTTTCAAATCTACCAACTATCTTTCTCAACTCACACCATCCCAAACTCCAAGGGATAGACCAGCTGAGCCAGCTCTCTGCCTGCTTTCCTGACACCGCAAAACAACCAGACAGACACCATGAAATTAACAGTTTTATAAGACAGTTTCTTCTAACAGGCAAAGTTTCGCTATCGATCAGTATTTAAAATAGGCTTTCTAAAGCAGTAATTATTTTAAACAGTGGCTTCCACCTGACATAATGCACACTATGTTCCTTTCTTCTTTCCCTTCCCTTCCAACACGTTCCTACCTTCACGGAGCTCCCACCTTAGGGAGGTCAGAAGGAATGGCATTTCAAAATAATTAGTATTTAACCAGAGCCTGTCGATGCACGTGGGGCGCTGCTTCTCAGCTTCCATCCGGGCCAGAGCCTGCAGTGTCTGGAGGCGGGGCCGTTCCGGGACCCCATAGAAATAACCAATGGCCATGCCTGAAGGCGGAGCTTTTGAAAATGACTGGCACGGAAAAAATGACCAATCAGAACTGGGGGCGGGAGGGGGGCGGGGAGAACCGCGGAGGGCAGAGTATTAAGCGGGTTCGCAGGCAGTGAAGGCAGGAGGTGGGGTCTAAAGCGTGTGAGGCTCAGGGTAGCAGCTATGTAGTAATCTCTAAGTTTTAAATTTTTGAAATAGTGAGCCATACTGGTGCATACGACCGGATATCTTCTCCGATACAGTAGCTATTTTGTTTATCAAGAGCACCACCTCCTGAGAAATGCTTTTTCCATTTACATAATCTTTAAATTCAAACAGGAGTTGCCCTTCACCTGCAGAATTCTTTCCCTCGGCAGCAGTGTTTCCTCTGTGGGTGGATACGGGACACAAGTTAATGGGACTATTATTTATTCATCCTTATTACTAGTTCAGTTTCTGACATATAATTAGGCATTTGAGAATTAAGAATGAACGGATGCCTCTATTACTTTCTTTGATCCCAGTTGTAAAAACTTCTGCAACTTTCTGATTCTGCCATTATCAAAAAAAAAAAAAATCGTATCCTATTTTAGCAGCTTAATATTGATTTTGATGTGTGAATTACACAATTTTTTTTATAAATTTCCAGAATCTGCTGGCAGCTGTAGCTATGGTTTCCTTTTCTTTCTCTCCTAGAAATTTTACAAACCCCAAAGTTCTTGAATTTTACTCATTTCAGAAGATTGTGCTCAAATTTTATTCAAAGAGTATACATGAGCTTTATAAATTGTAATATTTTGAACAAATGTTTGTGGCTATTCTTTTTTTGTTTGTTTGTTTGTTTAGTGTAAATTAGTTGAAGACCTTCGTTTTATCATCACAGAGTTAGCCATTATTATACCATAAGGTATTACTCAAAGGATCAAAGAGCAGGAGTTGAAGGCAATACCTGCATGTGAATGAGATGATAGCAATCAAGTCACAAGTAAAAGCCACTCAGATTCCAGAGTTCCTAAGGTCTAAAAGAGATAATTCTAAATTTCTCCTGAAGGCTACTTAGCCCTCAGGAATAATAATTTCAGTGTGTCTGAGGGATACCAAAAATAATCTATTGTGTTTTAAAACAGAGACATAACCCACTTGAATCTAATGTATGAAATATGATATGTCAAGAGCTTTGTAATGTTTTGAACAACCAATATAAATAAATAAATAAATAAATAAATAAATCAGAGACATAGGAAGTTCAAGCATGGGGCTGGGATTGTGGCTCAGCAGTAGAGCGCTCGCCTAGCAAGTGGGAGGCCCTGGGTTCCATCCTCAGCACCACATAAAAATAAAGATACTGTGTCCAACTACAACTAAAAAAGGAATTTTTTTTTTTTTAAGTCCAAGTATGAGTGTTGTTCCAAAATGGGGTTTGTCCGGGTTGACTCTGCATTTCTGTATTAAATTTTTTTGGTTGTAACAGAAACATCTCAAAGTAGCTGAAACATATAACAAGACAAAAACAAAAAAGGGGATTATTAATAAAAAGAAACAAGAGTGTCTTATAGAATCCAAGGGCAGGAATGCATATGGATCTTGAGAGGAGCCTGGGGCTAGGAACTGTAAAGAACTAAAACTCTTGCCCAAATTTGCTTCTCTGTACACTCCTACTACAGTTTTCTCTTTGTTTCCTAATCCACATAGAAGTATCCTTATTTAAAATATTTGTGTCATTAATTCACAGTTACTGGGATTGTTCTAACAGAGGCCAAATTACCATCATTTTAGATTGTGGAGAAGGCCTGTCCTTGTTAAGGATAAAAAAGGGAAGTTAAAACAAGTTATAACTATAGCCTATTTTAAATGTATTATGATTCTACCAATTTAAGCTCCCATATATATGAGTTGCTTCCCATTGCACTCACTGTATCTGTAAACAGAAACACTGGTTTCTTATCAATTTTGGTCCCTCATCATTCATGTGGAGTCAATCACAAGGTCTTATTGGGTCTTCCTCCCCCAAACTTCTAATGAAATAATACT